CTTCCTACAGCTACGCCATCCTCACCCCCGAGACGTGGCCGTCCTGGCGTGGGGACGAGCGGCAAGGGGTGCAGCACTTGCTGCGCTCCGTCAACATGGACCCAGACCAGTACCAGATGGGTCGGAGCAAGGTGTTTGTCAAGAACCCCGAATCGGTGGGTGCCCCGGCTCTGCCCCTCGCCCTGCATCCCTGCATCTCCAGGGGGGCAGACGCTGCGCGTGGCTGAGCATCGCTTTGGGCAACGCTGGGGAGGGTTTGGGGTGCCAATGTGCAGGAGAAGCCACGCAGCTGGGGTTCGGTGGCTCCTGGCCAACCGTGCTCAGCACCCCGTGTCCCTCTCAGCTTTTCCTCCTCGAAGAGATGCGGGAGCGGAAATTTGACGGCTTCGCCCGGGTGATCCAGAAGGCCTGGCGCCGGCACGTCGCCATCCGGAAGTACGAGCAGATGCGGGAGGAGGGTAAGGCCAGGCAAGGATGGGGACACTGGCACCCAGCACCCCTTTTAGGGTGCCCTTCACTGGGGACAGCCCAACTACCAGAGCAGCTCCTAATTGCGGCACTAACGAGGAGGGGGATGAGGAGGGACCGGCCCATGAGATGCCTGGGGTCTTTTCCTACATCTTAAAGGAGGGTGCGGATTTCTTGCTCCCATTTCCAGCCCTGGGAGGGGCCGTAGGACAGAAACCAGATCCTCGCTCTGCGTTTCATCGCCTGCAAAGGGCCGGAGAGGAGCAGCTGAGAGACAGCGTTTGCGGAGGGATGGGAAAGCCCTGACCCCATCACGGGTGTTTTCCCACCCTCCCGAGCACGCTGTGAAAAATCAAGGGGGAAAACCCAAAACGCGGCTGTCCCCCTCCCTCCCTCTCACAGCACAAGGGTTTTAGAAGCCAATTAATGGGTTTCAAAGCCAGCCAAGCTCAAGCAGCTTCGATTCCTCCCGCGCCATAAAACGAGCCCCACTTCTTGCTGCCACGATCCGTGTGACAGCTCCCACAGTGGGTTTGGGAGGGCAGGCAGTGGCCGGGCCGGTGGGCAGGGACCGAGGGCTGAGCCACCGGCACCGAGCCCTGTCCGACCGGCATCGCTTCGGGATCCCTCTCAGCCTCCAACATCCTCTACAACTTCAAAGAGCGGAGGAGGAACAGCATCAACAGGAATTTTGTGGGTGATTACCTGGGCATGGAGGAGCGGCCGGAGCTGCGCCAGTTCCTGGCCAAGCGGGAGCGGATAGACTTCGCCGACTCCATCACTAAGTACGACCGGAGGTTCAAGGTACGCAGACCCACCTGAGGCTTGGGACAAGCCAATCTATGGTTCACGGTGGCTGCCCTTGGGTGGGATGCGTGTGGGGGGCTTGTGCCCCCCCGCAAACGCCCCCTCACCCCCTGTTTCTGCCCTTTGCCAGCCCATCAAGCGGGACTTCATCCTCACCCCCAAGTACTTCTACCTGATCGGGCGGGAGAAGGTGAAGAAAGGTCCTGAGAAGGGGCAGATCAAGGAGGTTCTCAAGAAGAAGGTGGAGCTCCAGG